CAGCTTGTGGCCTGCTGGGCCTGGACGTGAGGTATCAGCTGCTGTCCCCCAGCTCAGCATTAGGCACTGTTCCTGTGATCCCAGGCTCTTTTGAAGACATGCCTTTCTAGTCCCCTGAGCCTTCCTGAGCTGATCCAGATCCCACCTGTGTGACAGAGGGAACTCAGGCCCCGAATCATGGCTTTCAGGCATTGCCAGTCCGCAGTTATTTCTTCGCATTGGGCTTCCCCTTGAGGCTGCCCTCTCCTCTGTTCCCAGGAGCCCTTCTGCTGTCTCAGTCTCGGGTGTGAGGATATTTATTGTATAAGCAACCTGTAGCTAACTGCGGATTTATGGGCACAGTGTTTTCCCCATGTTAGAGGTCGATGCTGCCTCTCTTGAATCTTCTTTACTGGGGACAGAGAGGAAAGAGAATCCTTACCTTTCGAGGCCTGTTGGGCCAGCGCAGTGGGAAACATGAGCCACCGAGAGACTCTCACCAGCCCGCCTGGCAAATCCACTCTGCAGCCTCAGGCCCATCTGGCTTGACCCTCACCGTCCTGTCTCTGTCCTCGATGATCCTGTCCATCCTTTGGTTTGGGTGAACACTGTGTCCTGCAGAGCTCTTCCTTCTGCTGTCCTCCATCTGAGCCATCCCTGTGCCCCCTCCATACCTCTTCTTCCGCCTCCCGTGGATCGCAGTGCTCTGCATCTTCTCACTTCCCAGCTTCGCTTCTTTGCCCCCTGAGACCCAAGACTGTGTCTGGCTACTGCCAAGCCCTGGTGAACCCGATGAATAAAGCCATGGGGGACACTCACCCAGGAACGGGGACCCAGGGTTGAAGGCAAGCAGGTCCCCTGTGGCTGAATGGTCGGGCCCAGGGCAGCGAGCAGAGGGGACAGAGTCCTGGCTTTGAGCTCTGCCAGGAGGAGTAACCCCAGAAGGGAAGGGATTTGGTCTCCTCCTTGCTCAAAGCCCTGCTCTAGCACCCAGGTGTCCCCGAGGGGCTTCCCTGCCAGTGGCCATGCAGGTCGCCCCCTTTGCTGCAGGCCCCTGAGTAGGCCCTGGGCAGCCTGAAGCTCTGCATCAGCTCTTCTGGCCACAAGCCACCTGTGGGTCCTACCGTGTCCCCTAAGGGCAAGAAATAGAGTTGCCGGAAACTCCCATTCTTCCTCTGCTCTACCTCCCGCTCTCCCCACCCGTTCCCGCCCACCAGCTTGGTACAGGGTCCCACCACCACAGGGTCCCGCCGTAAAGCACTCTCCTGTGTGTGAGACCATCCAGCTGAGCTGCCCCACCTCCGGCCCTGGTCCATGGTGTCCCTGCAGGTCTCCCCACAGCTGTCTGCCTGCCTGAGTCCTGGCCGGGCTGACCTGGTCCCCTGACCCCCACCCAAGCTCCATTCAAGCCATGCACACCCTCACATTTGCCATCATGGGGTGGAATCATAATGGAGTAAGTGTCCCACAGACTTGTCCATCTTCCTGTCCCTGGGGAAAGGCCTGACATAGACTGACTGTTCCTCTCCCGGTAAATACATGCTGAACTGAAATCTTTAATAAATAAAGCCGATCAGATGAGCACTGGTAGGCAAGAAAAACAAGTCTCTTTCTTGTAGACTTTTTTAGCTAGCACATAGTAGATGCTCAATAAATAATGACTGAAGAAATGAATAGAAGAAGAAAAGTAAACACCAGTGCAGGTGTGCAGCCTGTGTGTCTCAGGAAGGGCCCAGCTGTAAGGGAGAAAGAAGACCGAGTCACTAGTGATGTTCCCAGGCGAGTCTTCCATCAGTGCCGCCTCTGGCAGCACGTGGAGCCACTCCCAGCATAGAGTTTGAGCCTGCGCCCGGAGGGGCCGGGATCTCAGTCAGGATGGTGATCTCTGCATAATCACAGCGGCACCAACAGAGGACACCCAGGTGTCCTTCGGCAGGGAAGCGCCAGTAAATTGGAGTCTGTCTGCAGAACGAATGAAGCCATCTCCGTGAATAAGTGAATAAGCTCCGTACTGAGATGCTAACGGGCTAAATCTTGCAGACCTAACCGGAGGAGGAGAGGGAGTCAGAGTAAGCCGCACGACAGGAAACGCGCTGAAACGCTGCAACCTGTGGGAGTCCTGAGAGCGGCCAAACCCCGGGGACGGGACGCCAGGTCTCGGGGACACAGCAGAGGGGTGGGTGGGAGGGGTCTCCTTCCTCAGCCTAGTTTCTTTCATCTCCCCCAGCATGCTTACTCGCGGGTATTTTTACCTCACTCTGCACTTCCTCTCTGTGGGCCAGCTGGAGAGGGTCCCACACGTGGTGCTGCGCCCTGGACGCTGAGTCCAGCATGTCACAGAGCTCCAGGTCCCCATGGGGTCCCCAAGAGGCCCCAGACCACCAGCCTTGCTCCACCTCCCAGTCGCCCTTAAAGTCTCCCCTTACTGTTCACAGCTCCGGAGGCCCCTCCCTTGCTGCTGCTATGTGCAGTGTGATAAAGCATGGTGGACGCATACAGTTTTGAGATTATTACGGTAAAAGACTCATTGCCATTGACTCCCCTCACTGAACACTCGCCCCATTGTCCCTGCTGCTTCCTGCAGCAGCTCTGGAGCCCTCTCTCCTGAGTGTCTTTAGCTATGCTGTCCTGGCTGCCTTGATGTCCTGAATGGGTTCAAAGCATTCACTTTCTATGGTGACTTTGACGTGGGGGAAGAGCCTGCAGCCGCACAATGGCAGATCCAGGGAGTAAGGTGCCTGAGGGCACAGCACGTGTTTTTATGGGCCTGCCTTTCAGTTGGATGGCACTCAGCAGCAGCGTTCACTGTTTTTTATCACACCTCAAAAAGATAGTCTCAAAAGAAGACCAAGAGCTGCTTCAGAGGTGACAGGAACAGTGGAGTAAGTGTGTTCAGAGCAAAGGGCAGTAGTGGCAACATGGCTTATACTGTAATAATTTTTTTAAATTTAAATATTCACCAGATTTTGACCACATCTCCTATATTGGAACATTGTTCTAACCTAATTCAAACTGGTGCTTACAATAATATTTAATGAAATTGTCATACACTGGACTAGAGTCTTTCATAACTAATCCACGGTGACTCACACCACTATATTCTCTTGCTTTGTACTTTGTGAATACTTCTGTGCTTTCTCGTTTCCTTCCTTTATGTTTGTGGTGAATTTTACTGTCTCTAAAACTGTCCCTCGTACGTGGGGAGCCATTTCAGTAGAGTGTGGGAGCTACTTTTCACAGCTCTCGAGGACCAGTTGTCTTCATTTCTTCCCAACCATGTGTTCGGTGACATCACATTGCTCGCTTGACATTACCCAAAATGGGAGTATTTGCACCGTGGAAATCGGCAAATGCTGCCCATCAAGTTGCTTGGTTTTTCCACAGAAGAGTTGGTGCTGAAACATCACCAGCTACCACAAGGGGGGGCGTCACAGCTTTCTGAGCGGTGTAGGCCACCGCGGCCCTGGCTGCAAAGTGACCGTGGTCTTTCGGGTAGAGGGAGCAGAACTGGTTTGGAGCCGGCAGGTCTGAGTTTGATTCTGGCTGCTTTGAACAGTGAAATGGACAAGCGTCTGGATGAGCCCCTCACTCGGCCACATGTAAAATGAAGATGAGGAAATCTTCTCTGAGGATTTGGGAGCCTTGAGGGAAACAGTACGGGCAAAACCCAGAAAAGCACAAGGAGCCATGCAGCGGGTGGGTCGCCCGGTTCCTCCCAGGCCACACGTGTGTTTTATTTCCAGCCAATCTGACCACCCCCGCCCCACATGGAGGACACGCCCTTCTCCAGGACACACCGCTGGTCGGCACAGAGGCTGGAGCCCACACTGGTGTCGGCTGGGGGATGCTCTCCTTCCTTCAGTCTTAGAAAACTGAACTGGGACTCAGCCAAGATCGGTTTCACCTCCTGGAGTCCCCTGGTGGCCGCACTGCTGAGCTGAGTGTCCCGGGAGGCTGGCCTGGCCCGAAGGTGGCAGTGCTGCCCACCACGGTGGCCGCGGGTCACTCCCAGCCCTGTGGGCTCCAACCTGGTCGCATGCACAGCCACCTGGTGGTGACACTGCTTCCGAGCCATCAGCTAAGCCAGACTGTACTTTGCTCTGCATATTGTAACTCGTTCTTCGGCCCGAGCAATATATTCCATTGTTTTAATATTTGTAGCAGCATGGAAAGGCTCCGGGGGGTATTTTCTTTCCCACACCTTCCTCATCCACCCAGGTCCCTCCTCATGAAAACTCACCCTGGGAGGGCAGAGGAGGAAGAAGAAGGAGGTGCTTGTCTTTAGTTTCCCGTAAACTCGGAGGGTTTGGCGCTAGTGTTAAAGGCCCAGCGGCTGCACTGCCTGCCCAGCAGCTGAGCTTCAAGTCAAGGGCCCCAGAGCCATGAAGTCCCTCTTGGAGTCAGGAACACCAAGGCAGGGCCATGGGGCTGAGCGGTAACTGCCAGGAAAGCCACGGAGCTGGAGCCGCTTTCTGTCTGCAAAGATAGGCAGCGTGTGTTGTCCAAGTGCCACGTGTGGCTACTATCACTGAGGTGTCAGAGCCCCAGGGAGAGACACGGGGGACCTGGTGCTCCTAGGAAAGGTGCCACGTCCAGGCACAGAGCTAGGGTCTCTGTCCTCATCGTCCTTGCCATCACTGCTATATAAAATAGATGTAACCCAAGCTGCCGCTCTGACCAAGTCGGCACCAGCGTCAGTGGCATTAGGTCCGGCCATCACCGCCACCCACCTCCAGCCTGGGGCTGCTCTGCCCGTCTCAGTCCTCCCGGCAGGCCCTGGGAGGCAGTCCACTTTCTCGTGGGATGAGGAGGTCGTGGAGAGCTGGCTGCATGTCCTCAGTCACCTGGCAGAGCCTGGGGCTGAGCCTGGTGTTCACCTCCGAACTTTGTGCTCTCGTGGCTGGGTTGGACATGGTGGCCAAGCCCTGTCAGTGTGCCACTGCTCCAAGGGGCCGTCACTGTGTGTGGGGCTGGCTCTCACCCTCACGGTGCCTTTGCTCCTCTGTCCCCGCTCTGCCCAGGGGTGATCCTGCTGCTGCTGGACAAGCTTCGCAAGATGAAGTGGGAGCAGATGTGGAGACTGACGGCCGAGCGGGAGCTCATGGGCATGCTGTCCACGTCCCTGGCCGACCAGGTGAGTGGCTGGGCCACGGGGCTGGCGTTTCTGAGTGCTGACAGCATGTGGTGTGCTGTCACCACAGTGGATTCTGGGATGGCCGACTTATCTAGAGAAAAGGTTCAGTGGCTCATAGCTCCGAGGTTCCAGTCCATGGTCTTTGGCCCCATTGCTTCTCATTCTGCCATGAGGCTGCCCATCATGGGGGTGCATATGGGGAAACAAAACTACTCCCCTCGTGCGTGGGGATCAAATGAGAGGAGGAGGAAGGGACCAGGGAGCCCCAGGAACCCGGCAGGAGGAGCCGGGCACCAAGGCTTTACCACACGGGCCTTTGGGAACAGTCAAGATCCAAACTATGGCAGCCCTGCTGCCTAAAAGTAGCTGGACCCGAATTACTCTTCTACCCGTTGTGCCCCTCCACGTGCGTGGACAGAGCTGCGAGTGCGTGCCAGGCAAAGATAGCCTGTGCGTTAGTCACCTCTGCTTCATTCACTTGCCTGCCCTGCACACATCACCCTGGATGCCAGGGCCCTGTTCAGAAGCAGGGTGACGGGGAATGAAGGACTTGGTCCTTGGCCCGAGAGGCACAGGTCTAGGTGCAGCAGTCCGCTGTGTGAGGAGTGGTGTGGGACAGGCCTGCCCCAGGTCCCAGAGCCGCGCAGTACGCCTCTCCCAGACAGGCTTCATCTCTGGCAATCGGAGCCCGCCGTGTCCCTAAGCCCATTGCTGAGGTCCTGCCCGGGAGCGCCTGGCTCCGGGCACCGCCTCCTGTCCAGGCAGCCTGAGAATGGGCCCCCACACTGCCAGCCTGTTAACATTCACAAAAGCAACTGCTCATTTGAGTCGCAGAGGTGGGGGCGCTGGGGGAACTTGGGACCCTCCAGACCCTCTCGGATTTTGACCTCACTGTAGTCTTGGGGCTGCCGTGAGACAGGAAGGCGGCTTCTCTGAGTGTTCTGCATTTCACCCTTTCTTTTTACCCGAAGCTGACTGTCCACGTTTTTGTCCATTCAGCTGCGTAGTTCATGGAATGCCTAGAAAGTTTTCTAATATAGAAGAAAAAAGGACGTTGCAGGGCTTTTGAGTTTTTTAAGGCATTTTTTATTCAATGTTTTCTAAGCAGCCAGAAGCTGATTTCTAAACAATGAGACGCTGTATAAGGAAGGAGTTAAAGAAAAACAGAACTCGCAGGCGCTGTCTGAAACCTGAGGGGAAGATCCTCTGCCATCCTCATATTTTAAGTGCAGCCACAGCCACCTGACGGCGTCCCCATCGCCGGCACCTGTGTGCCCATGTCCAGTGAGGACAGGCTGGTCAGCCACCTGCTGCCTCGAAGGCCCATCATTCAGCCCCCATCCCCAGCTAGTGCGTCAGGGTGGCTCGCTCAGGAGCGTGGCGCGAGCCCGGGCGAGGCCCCAGGCAAGGCCAAGGCCCGTCTCGGAGCCGGCTGCACAGCCCAGAGTGTGCCGGGCTGGCTGGAGCCCAGGAGGGGTGTGGGGAAGGGGTTGTGGCTGTCACAGCCCCTGCGAGCTGTCCTGCTCGTCGTGGAGGCCCGGGAGGGATAAGAGGGCTCCCGGATGGGGCGGGGAGAGGGGAGGAAAGGACACTGCACTTACCCTGGGCCAGTGCGCGGGAAGATGCCACGGGAGCCTGGAGGACGGGGAGCAGCAAATCGGCCCGGTGCTGGCCCGGCCTCCCTCCCATCTCTGCAGCGTGCTCACTGGGGTCTTGGAGACAGGGGCGAGAGAGGCCTGTGCCCACGTGTCAGCTGTGCTGAGCCCAAGCCCGGGGCTCACCGGACGTGCGCCCCAGGGATGGGCCAGAGCCGCAGGCTGAGCCGCGATGTCCCCTTGCCTTTGTCCCCAGGACATTTTCAATGCCGTCATCAAGCAGAACCCCTTCCTGGTGTACCAGCTCCCCTGCTTCTGGAACGTGCAGCTCTCCGACCACACCCGCTCCGAGCAGTGCTACCGAGACGTGTCGGACCTGAAGGTAGGGCGGCCCCTGGAGGCGAGGCCTTGGACGGCTGTGAGCTGTGTGTGGTGCGGAGAGAGAGCTGGGTGCGAGGAGCAGAAGGAGTGTGCTTTGCTCCTCTGCTGGCCTGTAGTTGTTTGGTGCCCCGTCTGCTTTCTGGAGAAGCCCCAGAGCAGGAGCCATCTTGGGGGTTATTCTTCCTGCCGCCTGCTGCCCAGGTCCCTTCATTTATTCAAGCAAAAGCATCTGCCAGAATTGGGTGCCGTGAATGTGGACGCAAATAACTTCTACTTCCAAGTCACAGCTTAGACGAAGAGAAGTGTGTGAGGAAGGAGGTGTGGGACGGGACAGGTGCTGCGAGAGGTGTGCCGGGCCAGCACAGGTGCCCTGTTCTCTCCCCCCACGGAAGGGCCGGTGGCCAGCTGTCCGTGCAGCGATGAGTCCGCCTCTTGGCGGTGGGGTCCTGGCAGGCGTTCTGGCTTCCCCTGGCCTAACCGAGTGTGCAGGGTCAGCTTGAGTTCGGGCAGCTCGATGTCCCCCTGGTCCCCTGGGGCTTCGGCAGGCCAGGCGGAAGCACAGGGAAAGCCTGTGTCACCATTGCTGAGCCCCCACTTCCCCAGGAGTCGCATGGTTCGCAGTTAGGGCTGGGGTCCCTGCACCCAGAGTCACAGTTCCCGAGCGACAGGAGTACAGTGAACCGGGACCTGACACCGTCCTGTCCAAGGCCGGCTGCCTTTGCCTCTGATTGTGTCAGGAGGCGGGGAGACGAGCGTCCCCAGAGAGCAGTTTCCCTAGAAATGCCCCTGCCCCGCTGGCGTGACAGCCTCAACAAGGGTTCAGCCTTGCCTCCCAAAAGTCAGTTGTTTCCAGTTGGCTTCTAGTCCATGCCCACGTGTGCCTGTGATCTTATTTATCTCATCATGATGCACATTGAATTTGCTTCTGCCTTCCATGTGTTTTATATTGTAAGCGCTCCCTGGGTCACCCACCTGGTGCTGACAAACATCATCTCCACTAGTTACACAGTAAGCTGTCTTCTAGCTGCCACGCCCTGAGCCTTCCTGTTCTTGCCTGCTCACAGATAGACTATGTCGTGAAGAATAGCGCTGTCCATGGGCACCTTCTGTCTTGCCAAAGTTTTTGCCTTCCCCAGGAGTGAAATCACAGAGCCAAAAGGAAAGAGTTTTTTCTACTACACTTGAAGTTGGTTGCAAAATAGTGCAGTGTTCAAAACAGAAGCATTCGATCGTTCTTCTTCCAGCATTAACGCAGCCCTTTGTGTGTGTCCTGTCCTTGCCAGGCATTAGGACAACACACCAGACTGACAACAATACTTCTAAAAACACTGTGGCAGAGTAGTTTGGAGGAGAGGAAAATAAAACTAGCCCTGGACAGGACACCTGAAATGCTGCATAAATACTGTTTTGCAATGTTTAAAAGCATAATCGATCTGTCCATAAAGTCAATAAAGCAGAGGCCGGAAACAGCAGCAGGCTGTGTGAATCCGAAGAGTAAGCAGCCAGAAGCTGGCTGAGGCATTTGTTTACCCTTGGGGTGGTCTGCAAACCCCCAGTGGGTGACAGGTGGTGTGGGATTAAGAGGAATGTGGGTAGCCCTTGTCGGCAGCCTCTGGCACACGTAAAATTAAAGCAGAATGCAAGAAGGGAAATGCATAAGAAAGTGGGAGAAAGAGAAAGCAAGGAAACCAAATAAACATAAATTAATTTTGGTAATGAAAGGTTTTCAACTTGAAGAGAAAATATTTCCAGTGCACGGCTGTTTTACAAGAAACATAGCTAACTCATAAGAACCTGAAAGGTTGACAGTAAAATTATGGAAAGTAGTTATCAGAAAAACATCCAGAAGAAAACTAGGATAATGATATTGGGTGTTAGTAGGGAGAGAGATGCTCACAACCTAAAAGTGAAAGCTCGACAGGAAAACGGAAGAGTTCTCCTCATCTGTGCAGCCCCTGCCGGGCATCTGTGCCCTCAGGGTATCAGAGCACTGGAGCTCCAGGGAGGGGGCAGGTCTATCAGTGGCAGTCTATCATGGTAGAATCCTGTAACCCATCCTTTTCAAATACTCAAAGGCCAAAAGTCAGAAAGTGGCAAAAATATAGAAGACTCGAACTTCACATTCTTGGTTCATTGGACAAAAAGACCTTTAACAACTGGAGGTTCTACCTCCTTCTCAAGCTCACATGTCCACTTTATAAAGACGTGGCCGTATACTAGACCCTAAGACTGATCTCAGTTCATTTTCAAAGAACCACATTTTCCCATGGTTCTTTGAGCGGAGTACAATTAAATTAGACGGCTATAGCAATAAGATAAAAGGCGTCTATTTGATTAAAATTAAGAACCACTTCTAAATTCTGCAGGGTTCTTAACAGAAGTCAACTGAAACTGAAAAACTACTTAGAGATTAAATGAAAATAAAAATAATGCATGTCAAAATGTGTGTAATGAATAAACATGCAGAGAAATTGTAACCTTAAATGTTTGCATTAAAAAGAAAAAAGGCTAAAAATTAACATGCCAAGTTTGCAACTTAGGCTGATATATACAGAGCATTAGAATAAATTCAAAGGAACTAAGAGGCAAGACATAAAGAAGAAAAGAGCAGAAAGTGACTAACAAATTACTTAGTGAAGGCAGAAGTTCTTAGAGACCAGTAAAATTGACAGAGCTGAGGCACGACTCTTCAGGGCAGAGCGGGGGCTCAGGAGACCCGCATCAGGCAGCGTGCATTCAGGTTCCCCATCACTCCCTAGGTGTTTCTGAGCTAGCAGTTCTGCGTGCTAGGTATGGAGCAAAGACCAAATCACTTGGTTCCTGGAACCTTCCACCCAGTAGATAAAGCAGCATGGTAGAAGGTAATTAAAAACTGAGAACAACATTATATCATGAAATCTGAAAACTTATTCAAAATGGACAAATTTTTAGAAATGCATAATTTACCAAAATTGTTTGAAGAAAAATATATGATGTTTAAATTATATTTCATTTATTAAATCTTCTTCCAAAAAAAACAGCACCTTAGCTAGTAAAAGAAATAAGTTCTACCAATTTTTTTTAATCAAAAGATATTTGTAAGCTTAAAGTTTCCAGAGAATGGCAAAGGAGGAATGCTTTTACCCATTCAGTGAGGCCAGGAGGTCCTTGGTACCAAAACTAGACAAGGAGAATTTCCAGAAAGACCAGTGCCACTCGTGAATATGGATGCCAAATGCAGCCATGTGGAAAATAGGTAATGCCGGTGGCCAAGTTGAGTTTCTTCCACAAAAGACAAGGGTGATTTAACATTGGAAAAATCCACAAGTGTCGCTGAGCATGTTAATAGGTTAAGGGAGGAACACCATACGATCACCAAAATAGATGTGGGAAAGTTCATCCATGTTTCAGTGTGTCGTGTGCGTTAACTACTAAAAACCCTTGCACACTTTCGCAGAGCCTGTGCTCAGGGTGTGCCAAGTGATCAGGTACAGGACAGATTGGAGCGGCAGAGGACCTTACAGCCACGGGAATCTGATGAGTGGGGAAGTGGATTGCCAGTCTTCACAGAAAGGACTTAATCTCCATAAATGATGCTGACACACCAGATTATCCAGATGGGGAAAAGGGCGAAACAAATCCCTGTCTCACCCCGTGCATGAAATGCATTCCAAGTGGATTGGAAACTTGAAAACAAGGCCAAATTAAAGATTAGTTTTTAAAATGTGGGGCAGGGGGTCTAGTCCTGAGGCCTCAGAGTGGGGAAGAGCTTATTCCTGGAGACCCTCGCGGGGCCGGCTGATGGGCAGCCAGCCAGAGTCCTGATGGAGGAGCCCCGGGTGTGCTCAGTGTGTCCGGAGGCAGGTGTGTGGGTTTGCTGCTGTGGAGCAGTGAGCACACCCCGGGCCATTCCCACACCGTCACCTTCTGCCTCACCCACACCTAGTAGAAGCCAAACTTCTTTTCAGGGACTTATCTTCATCGAGTTGTTGCAAAGCACTTCGTGTGCCTTTCTTGTAAATAACAGCTCTCTTTTTGCACGTATGTATCATTAATTCAATTAGTGTTTAATTAGATCTCCAATTACATTGGAAGCACAAATATAAAAGCACCTCTGGAAGCACAGAGCTCCGTGCGTTGGGGCAACCTCCTTCCGCGTGCTGCCAGGGCCCCTGGGCATCTGGCCCACCAGGCTCTCTGTGGAGCCCGGAGTGTGAGGGTGGGTAAGGGGAATTCACTGGGGAGCGTTTTCATGGGAGGGGCAGGGAAGACTACAGCTCTTGGAGCCCAGCGGTTCTGTGCATTTTGATGGCAGTTCGACTTCCCGCCGGCTGAGGGACTTGAACAAATCACTGCTTACTGCCCAGGCTCGTACATTCTCCCTAAAGTGAAGGCTGCTGTTCTGGGCCAGGCCCAGGTGCCCCCCGTCCTCAGCCAGGCCCCTCCGGGGCTGTAGAAGTGCGCTTGCCTCCCCTCAGTGTGTGTTTCACAGGCCTGGCAAAGCTGGGTGGCTCTCCCTGGCAGAGCAGTAGATTACAAGGGAAAGGGAGGCCCCAGCAAAGGGGGCTCAGACTCTTCAGGGACCCACTCTGGGCATGGGCAGGGGCCGGGCCAGTGCAGGGGAGACCCAGAGAGAATCCTGGAGATGTGTCCTGGGCTCTCGGCGCCCATGGAGCGCCTCACAAGGCAGCCCGGCCGGCACAGGGTCCGGCCTAGCCTGTGGGTGCCACTGGAGTGAGCTCGGCGAGCCCTGGCGCCTGCCCCGGAAGGCTGTGCTCTGGGGGAAACCTGGAGGGAGGGAAAGGGAAGAGCCGGGCCGGCGCAGTTGGCCAGGTGCAGTGACGGGAGCCAGAGGACGCACCTGGCCTCTGTCCCTGTGTCCTGAGAAACCTGGATGGAAGCTGCAGTCCAGACGCCAGGAGGCTGAGTCCCACTGCTTCCTCTTCCGCTCCTCACCCCTGCCCAGCCCGGGGCTTCCTGGCTGCCCCTCCCCATCCTGTCTGGACACCGCTCTTGTGGACC